CTGACCACAACCCCCATTCCCCGTCCCCCTTCGCCGCTGAGGGGGAGGAGGTAGTGAAGTTGAGCCTGGGAAGAAGGTGGGGAGGAAGGTGTTTTAAGATTAATTTTATATTCTCATTATCCTACTCTGATTTGATTGGTAATGAATTACACTATTTTCCCCAAGTTGAGTCTGTTTTGCCCGTGACAGCAATTGGTGAGTGATCTCTCCCTGTCCTTATCTCAAACCATGAGCCCTGCCCCAAGGAGGGGGTGACAGAGCAGCTTTGGTGGGCACGTGGCCTCCAGCCAGAGTCAACCCACCACATCTAGGCACTACAAGAACTAGGAGCAGAGACAAAAAGCACGCTGTCTGCCTTCCCTGCTGCTGCATTTCTAGCAGCCGACTCATCCCTTTCTCGAAACCCCCCGAAAGTGTCAGAGATGGCTCATGCGTAGGAGGTAACTTCCATTCTGTTCTGTGCAGAAACAACTGCCAGCACTTTGCTGAAGTTGAATCTCTCGTGTATGAGCCAACAGAAACATGCCAGTGAGGAAGAAGGATCCTGGCTAAGGCAGGGCTTGGCTAAATAATCTGACCTTTTTCTTGGCTTGGCTCTGAAACATATGCAAAATGCATCAAACCACCCCATTCCGGCTACCTGCTGTGCCCAAGGCCGGTGCTAAACACAACTTTTTTAAAATTAACACTCTGTAGTAACATTTCCTTACCACTTCAAATATCAGTTAATGGTAGGGTACCCAAACATGAGACAAAAGGAGCAAAGACTGACCGCGGCGCACCTAACATTTGGTGTAGCACATACTCAGGGCAGATGTTTAGTCCTGGAATCATATTTATATCTCTGCCTTTAGCCAAGCCAACTTTCCAATAGGATATATTCCTGAGGCTGACACTAAAACCCCTGTGCTTTTTATCATTTACACTCTGTTAGAATCATTTAGTTCTTCTGCGCATCCTTCTCATTCTCCCAGAGAATACAGACAAACAGCATCTCGCCGTGACCCAATAAGAAACTTTAATTCCGCGCATTTCTCCGTGCTGAAATGAAGATTTAGCGGCAACCTGATTTTAGTAACATTTCTTCCCCACCGTTACATGTGATTTAAATAACCATGACTGGTATTTTTGAATTGGTTTCATCTCAAAAGATTCCAGTTCTCTTTTACAGCCCAGCAGAGCCTTTGCTATTCTTGCACTAAGAAGTTGATAAGGGCAGTTCTGGGAGACAGAAAGGCCTTTTTAATGGTTCGTCCCTGGAGATGCTTGACTCCAAGTTCACTTTGAAGAACTAGTTCATGGACTTCTTCAAAATTGCGGGCTGCTTGCTGAGGCACAAAAACTTTGCCACAAGCTTTGTTATTGATCTGAAAGAGAGAGACATGAAAACAAGAAAAACAGAAGTTACTAGACTGATTTACACAATTCCATTTCCTGAATCCAATCCATCTCATCATTACACATGGGGAAAAAATGTGGATCAGACTCTCTTTTCTCCAACATCAAACTTCCTAAGTAGAAGACAAAGCACTCCATACCTCCTGTCTCTCTACCATAAAATAAGAGAATGAAACTCTGACTCACAACACTCAAGGAAAACTGAAGAAGTGGCCATAGGAAGTCTTAGTTTTGAAGACAGCAAGAACAACGTGACTATGCAATGTGGCGATCTTGTAAGTTTAAAAATGAGATAGTCACACAAGCTGAATAATGAGAGTGAACATAATCGTTTGTCAGGTGGGAATCTTGGTTTGTACTTCTAGGCTGCAATTTGGATTCCTTACAGCTAAGCGATTCCTTACAGAGACTCAAACGTGAGATTTATTAAAACAAAAATATCTGAAAAGATATCTGAAAGATTCATCATCACTCATTTTTAGAAAAATAAGCTTTAACTCATTATATGTTGCATTCGTATTAAACGCATGACTCGTTAAGCCAACACCGACCACAAAGATGACAACCATGCGTAAGGTAATGGTTTCCCGCGTGAGGCTGGTTTTCACAGCAGCTTCCATACTGGTTTTGCATCAGCAGGGCAGAATCATGTAAGTAAAATTGAGTAAGGCACTTCAGTGGAATCACCTTAATTTATAAAATGGTCTTATAAATCTTTTCTGTCATCCAGTAAGAGTAGATAACGGTCAGAGGCTACAAAGCCTTACTGAGTACCTTTCTGGAATTGGCATAAAATTCAGTATTACAAAAGCTTTTAGATTTACATGGAGTACTTTCAGTGGATTCATGAAAATAATATCAATCCCACATTTTAGCAAATGAAATAATTTGAACTTTTTAATCCAGTTCAATCAAATTATTTGCATAAAAATCTGCAGGTACTGCAGATCTTTGACCTGTAGACATCATTGTAACGAGTTTTCAATCATCTAAAAAGAACATATGTCGCTTCATACAGCTTGGACATGCACACAGCTTGGTTTTCACCAGGATTTTATCCAGGATACACGCATGCACCATCCTACAGATGAGAGAGACCTATTTCACTTACCTACTTTGTATTTTATTAAAAACAAAATAATCTGTGCAATTCTCAGAGAGAGGAAGTTGGGACAGATTTTTAAGGAACAAGATGAAGTCTCATATGCAGCTGGGATGAGTTATTTCTGGTTTTTTGACTAGACTTGATATCAATTTGCAGTGATAATGTAGGTAGGCTTTTAACTCTTCCTACATGCACCCATAACGTGGTATCATAGAAGACTGATGTGTTAAACTCTGCCTTCAGCACCTTGTGCAAAGTAAATCCCTTGAAAAACAGAAGAGTTCATTTTTAAAGCTTTTGTGAAAAATAAATACAAGTAGTTCTTTTTGACAGGGCACTTCAGAGAAGAAATACATTCCACAGGAAAAAGAAAACAGTAAAATCCAAACGGATAGTTTTAGTGAGAATATAAAGCAAGCTTGTGAGCTCGCTGCTAGGACACACAGCCTGCAGTTCCAAACTATGCCTGCTTAGTTAAAATGTCATTCACTGTCCTCCGTGATGCAAATTAATATGTCCCAGCGGATGGATGTTGGCAGGGGAAACTTGCCACAACTAACCTATTTGGTGCTGTTCTCAACAGAAAAGCCAAACGGTCTAAATCAACTTAGTAAATAAATGACTGCTAGCGGTTGTGTTTTTGTAGAAAGGTCGAGAAGCCTAGGCGACCTGACGCTGTGTACCTTCCCACAGCATCTCTCCTGACCTTCCCACACCGCGCCGTGAGCTGAGGCCAACAATCCTATCAAACGGCAGATCGGTTATGATTTCAGCACACGTTTGCAGCATGGCTTTCATTATATCGTAGGTATCGTGATGCAAAGTCATATGTATTAATGCCATTCTTAAAATAAGCATCTGCAGATTTAATCATACACTGAGTGTAACAAGCATCCTATTCACATATTCTTTTAGTCGAGGGGTTAGATTCTCAGCAGGACAAATATCTTCTGCATCTCTCCCCTCAGCAGCTCTCGGTGAAAGTGCCAGCACAAGAAATGTGGGTGCTGGCAGCCTTGTTTCTCTGAAAAACCACAGCAAACTGCAAGAGGAGAAACAACTGAGGTTGGGGTCCTCTCTTCCCCTGAGGAAGCAAGCTGATGCTTTTTCTCCTTTTTTTTTTTTGTTGTTGTGGGTTTTTTTGTTAAACATTGGACATTTTAGGCTATTTTGGATCTAGAGGAAGCTAGATGGAACTAGAGAGGTTATGAGGGATGAAATGAAATCACAAAAGACTGAAAAAGAAGCACCTGGAGGCTGCAGAGAGGAATTTTTCTTTCAACTCATTGGTGCATAATCCTTCTGAGAAGTAAAAAGGAAAATAAGTATCTGTGCACTTTCAGGCCTTCCTCATATGCCAAAGCAAGAAAAATGACACCAACTTTTATTTCTTATTTTATAAAAACATCAGTTACAAGACCACAGCTGCTAATACTTCTGCACCACCCAGAAAATGTGAGGAATGCTAGTCAGAAGTGTGTTCATAGGATGAAATGCACACTATGTTCAGGTCAGATTTTTCACAGCATTAACAACATACAGTACGATTAAAAATATTGAACTCTGCAATAACATTTAGAATAACAGATACTATGCATATCCAGTGAATTTAAATGTCTGTCTTGTAGGAAATCTGTATTGTATCAGCTAAGGATGCAATGAGTTTGTTGCTTTTGCTGCTTTGGGTTAAATATGGAAAGACATAACTCCAGCACAGACAGGAAATAACGAAGTATTTTGTGTCAAAAGAAATAAAACCATAATGTCTCAGCAGGCAAAGCCCTGGCAGCCTGAGGCAGTTTGATGTCTTGAGAAGAATAGGGTTGTGGTCCAAAGACTCGGTGTGACTGTGCAGCCTTGTGAAGAGACACTGCCTCTTTGCAACTAACCAACTCCTCCGTATGTCGAGTGGTTCTTGGTTGAACGAGGGCAATTTATTTTTACAACCACACAAAAACCTACAGTGTCCACAAGACTTTAAAATACTCACATTTATGATGATTTCTCCCTGCTCCTCTGTATTTCCCTTTCGCCTTGCTCTTACAGTAGAAAGCCAGGCACACCCCCTAGGCACTATTTTTAAGAATTATTCCCAGTTGGATAAAGGAACTTGTCTCTCTGGTCTTCCAGTCACTTGCTTTCTCAGAACTAAGGAAGGTGTTTACATATGTCATATTCCATGAATACCTGACTGAACACAGGGGTTGCTTTTTCTCTTATTACAAGACTTCCTCTGAAGGCTATGGCTTTGTCAAAAAGTCAACCAGGAAAAGAAACAAAAATAAGTTTCATAATGGTTGTTTAAAGCACAATTAATATTTATTCTTCTGTTTTCTTTTTTGGAGAAGGAAGCTTTAATGTGAGCAGAAAAATATCAGTGAAATGCTTAAGCGTTTTTATGCTCAGTTTTACAGCCTTAAAAACACTGAGTTCAGAGTTTTCCCTGTATTGCTCAAGTTTTTATTTTAAAGATATATTTAATAACCTGTTTGCTTGAACCACAAGTGCAAAGAAGTTTCTATAATTACACAATTTTTCATTCATGACTTCCTTATAAACTGAACACTGGAATTTAAGCTGTTTGCTAGCTGTGCTTGAAGGTGAAAGTTTATTTTAAGCTCAAGCAAAGGGATTATACCCAAGTGAAGATTTTTGTGGATATATGACCTTTTTAAGCGTATGAATAAATACTTATCACTTATAAAAAAAAAAAAAAGAAAGAAAAGCAATAAACCCACAGTGACTATTAGGCTAAGTCTGCTATTAACCCCAGCTGGCACCTCAATCCTTCTCCTTGGTTTGGGAAAAGATGCCAATTGAAAATTTCCCCCAGAAAGACAGACTCTGTGGCCTCTGCTAAGCATGGGTGTTGAATGTTAGAAAAATTAGGTTTTTAGCATAATTTCTCATTCTGATCAAGTGGACTATGACTGAGAGACCTAGCAAGATATTAAAATAACTGAAGGTACTCCTCCTACCCAAAGGAGCTAACGTAATAAAACTGATTAAATACAGAAAAAAATGCATTGCTGCTGTTTCCCTTATGCACACACAGAGCATGCAGTTTTAAATGACCACATAACTTTTCTAGAGGCTCTATCTCATTCAATGTCCAGAAACACAAAAAGTTTTTAAGTTGAAACATTTAATTTAAAACATTTAAGTTTAGAATGTCTGCATGGTATATTAAAGGTTATTCTTTGGTGAGCAGTGAAAAAAGGCAGGAGTCCTGCAGATCTTATAGTATGCAACTACGTAATTACGGACTACTGTAATGCCTGAGCATGATGAAGTACTTGAATGCAAGTTGATGGAAGAGCTGAGACACTACTCACAGATCCCACCTCCTGGCTCCGAGTCCCTCTATGGACTGCACTGGCACTTGTACTGATAAAGCTTAATGATGCTGAATACAGACTAATTAATTAGAGATGTAAGAAAAAAGACAGTAAACGACATTGTGCATGTGCACATATACGTTTTGGAAAATTACAGGTTAACTAAATGTAGTTTTATGTCCACTCTTCTACTGAACTGCCAGCTCTTTCTCCAGACCACAAAGATGTTAGAGCTCAAAGACAAACTGGAATGCAGTTAGAATGCATTAGAAAAGATAGCTGTTTTTCCTCATCCTCATTCCTGCAAATGCGCTCTGCTGAAATGTGCCAGAAGTTCAGCCCGAGGCGGACGGGAAACATTGTTTGGTAAAAATCACAGCAACTTAACCCAGCTTATGATACGTTGTGTTAGGCAACCATAGCACTGCAGGTACCACAAGAAATGTCACCTCATTATACATTTTTCTATCATAAATGTACTGTCAGGCAAAAAATCTGGAGGGACCTGTATTTTAGTCACAGACTGTACTGTCCTTGCCCGCAGCTGTTCATTGGTCAAATCTCCACAGGTCCTAATATGCAGTCACTCAAAAAGCTTTATATTTAGATCATCCCCCTTCCCGACTTGCTACATTTTTTCATTTAGGAAACCATTTTAAATACTCAGCACAACAGTAATTGCAGCTTCTATTCTATCTGACCTTTCACTGAGCCACCTAAGAAGGGAACTCACTTCCACAAGAGCAGAAATTTTGTCATCTTCTGAGCTTGTAATGCATTAACTGACCACCACTGAAAATAAATGCAAACGCTCTTACCAGAACGGACATCTCCACAACGTCTGATGGCTGAAGGTACTCTGGGTCTACTATGGGCCAGGACTGAAGCAGCACATCAACATCCCAATGATGATGAGTACAAAGTTTATTCTGCACATGTGCCAAACCTGGAAAATGAAACCAGTCAAATATTCAGCTGTACTGTAACCAGAACATTCAACCTTTAGAATTTGATAAAAAAAGATCAGAATAAAGTTGACTTTAAAAGTAAGTACCTTAGGAGGAAACAGCATTGTTTAGATTAGCATACAGTGCATTATAAACATAAAGATACAGATCTTTGAAGTGGTTGTTTTATACCACATGTAGGGATGCTAACATGAACCTTGTGGGCACATTTTAGATTTGGATTAGCACTCCAAAACTTTGCCAAAAGCACAGAAGACCACTGTTTATTATTTTAAATTGTAATGCTGCAACACAAGCTGACCTCTACTTTAGGAAGTCAATCAAAATACTGTGGGTTTTTTCAGTAACACAACCAGTTTGCTTAAAATTTTACTAACAACTCAATCAAAATGATACACAATTTTGGCTTATTATTTTACCATATGTAACATGCTGGGTAGTTTTTAAATTTGCAAGTCAAGCAAGATTTTCTCATTTTGTGAAGTATCTATTTTTTCACAAATTAAAGGTGCTATGTAAGAGTACCTTGCACAGCTTGCTCTCTTTATTATGATACATACATTCTGAGATGCTTTATTCTTTGATTTTATTTTTAAAAAGTCCTAAAATGGCTATAAATGATCTTCTTTTATTAAATAGGCTTTGTTCTCCTCAAGACAATTCATTCCTGTTTTAAGTAATAGGAGAATAGGATGCAATTCATTCTGAAGTCACATTCTTTAACTGAATAAAAGCTTCTGAGTTGGATTTATGTTGCTGTTTACTCCAGCTGTAGGACAAAATAAAAAGATTTCACTAAACATGAGGCTGTCAAATATGATCAATATTGATGATGATTGCTCTTGTGATTCTCACAAAGCCAAGGGATTTTTAAATTAAAAACATCCTCTGTGTATGAATAAGAATACAAACTAAAACTTTAAGCATGTACTTCATTCAGAACTGCAACATGTATTTGAAACCTCATCTGGTTTAGGGAAACTCCCACAAAAGCATAAAGAAAACCCATCAACACAAGATTCACTGTTGAGACTGAGGTGCCTGAAGCTATTGAAAACATAACAGCAGACACAGGGGCAAACCCAACCCACGCACAATACATACATGAATTTACCTAGCTGCATTGTTTAGACTAATACAGCAAATAACAACAGCAAACAGAGACACAAAGGGAACGCAACTTCCTCCAGAAAAATTTGCCAGGTTTTTGTCAGCACTTTTTCAGACAAAGCACTTTGGTGAAACGACACACAGCCTTGCTATTTGCTGAATGATTCAGAAAGGGGCAGTGGGGTGGACTGGTGGGAGCTATTTCTAATGGGAAGCAAGAACGTCCACATTTTCTAAGAGTAACAACTAAGCCACAATCTTATTAGGTAAATTAATTAATTAAAACATTTTAATGGCTCTGGATTTGTGTATTTTTTTTTCTCTTGTGACAGTAGCTCAGAAACCAAAAGATATGAACTCTAGCAGAAAAAAAAAATCTTTGCATTGGTGACTCATTATCACATTGACTTTAAAGACAACAGCTGCTAAATTCTTCCCTTTTTGGCTTTCGATCATCCAGATGAGCTCACTTCTTTCCAACTGATCACATGCCTTGTGGCAGAAGCATGCATACTGGCCACTCCTTATTTTCCTGTTGAAGTGGATTCTTCAAACTATTTAAAAACCACTTTCTCATAGAAGTCAAGAGCTTCTATCTATGAAAGCAAAACCAGGGTCACTTTGAATCCCTGTAGAGGCTGTCAGTCCTAATAAACCCGCTAATAAAAAATAATTTAAATGTATTCTGAAGCTGATAAAGTGTGACTAAGCACAGTATCGATCTTCTAGTTTGTTTTCTTGCTACAAAATGAGCTATGAGCTCATCCATATTAAAAAAAAGTGCAAAAGTCAACAGAACTAGTTTCAGAAAATAGAGTTTGACAGGAAACCAAAATGAAGGTTTTAGTTATGGTGCCTATTTGGCTTCCTGCCTTAATTCACATTTTGTGGGCTGTAAAACGCAGAAAACACAACGATTTGGTTTGCATTTTCAAAATGCAACACACAGAAAACCAGAAACTTCATCGCCGTGATCCAGAATGGCGATGGTCCACTTGTCAGGACCCAGGCAGAAGCCTCCTCCAGCCCTCCCACCTGATCCTGAGACATTACACAAAAGCGCTGTGTGAAAAATTACAAACTGACCATTTCACAGACTTTTATTGTGAAAACATTAAAAACCTGTTTTACTGTCTTATTGTACTGGAAAGCGCCTAGTAAAGTGCATATTATGAAATAACATGCATTTGGCTTCATATTTTTTTACTTGTTTTGCTTTTGTGGCTATCCATTCTCTTGCAGGTGTGGCACAGAAAGACCACTGAGTACATTTTTACTTACTGTAAGCTGCGTAAGTATATGTACAGCCATCTTTCAAGACAGATCAAGGACAACACTTGTGCTCAATCTGCAGGACTCATCCTGGAATTGGATCAGCTTCAAGGTACTTTTACTGACTAGCAAGCTAATACTGAAACAAGGTTTCCCTAAGCAGTACCTCACAGCATTGGAGCCCAAGTTAAAACACTAAGCTAAATGCATACTGTAAATGAGGGAGTTGAGGGAATCATAGAATAGTTTGGGTTGGAAGGGACCATTAAAGGTCATCTAGTCCAACCCCCCTGCAATGAGCAGGGACATCTTCAACTAGATCAGGTTGCTCAGAGCCCCATCCAACCTGACTTTGAATGTTTCTAGGGATGGGACATCTACCACCTCTCTGAGCAAAGGAGGGGACAGGACAAGTCTAACAACGTTTCAGCTCGTGGCAATGCTTTATTAGCATTACCTGAGTATTTCATACACATAATACTTCCCCTAAGGTGCTATTTGGGGGGGGAAGTGCAGATTCTCATTTTAAAGAGATTTAAGAAGGAAGATGTGGAAGTAGTTGTGTATCAGCAAGGTTAAGTTAGGACAGCAAGGTAATTCTAGTCTCACAGAAAAAAAGCAGTAGAAAAAATTATCTGTAAAATTCCAGCAATGGTGCAGGTAGTTTGACACAAAATTACGTAGGCAAGAGAAAAAGATGTGATTATGGAGTAAACTGAGCAAGAGCTGGCATGGGACAAGTGCCGGCACAGAGAGGTTAACAAAGCAGAAAAGGCAAGGAGGACGGAAGTCTTAATGGGCGATAAAAGGAAACTAATGAAGGCATCTGAAGCAATGCCAGTATCAGAGTTTAGGACTAGGGATTTTCTAACAGGAGACAGAAGAAAATCAGAGGGAGCAGTATAAGGTGACTATGAGGGTATGTTATCCAAATGTTGATAACTTTCAGATTTAGCAAAATCAAAACAATAGAAAATTGTGTTAAATAAAAATCCACCACACTAGCAGACAAGCAGATAAAGTTTTTAAAAAGCTCAGAGCAGGAGTGTGTAACAGTAAGCGGAGATGCATTCTGGGTCAGTATCTTACTTGCCTCTGCAGCCTCTTCTAAGGATGGGATTGTTACCATGTTACTTTGTTCTTCACATGACTTTTTACTATTTAATGAATCTTCCTATTTGACAGATTCAGGCAAGTTGTATATCCAAAATACCTTTCTGCAGCCCAGGAGGAATTTGTCTGTCCATTATATGTGAAATAGTCTGCAATCTCCAAAAAAATGATAGCAATACAGTAACAGCTGTTTCCAGACAGCTGTTTCTCCTCTGAGAAAAACTGTATTATACTGCTAGTATAGTAGTACAGAACTAGGTAAAGTCACGAAAATTTACATTTGTTCCGTACAGTACTAGGGGATTCACTTTATATGTTCCCTTCATATGTTTATATGTGACAGATGTGGAGCACCAAGGAGGGTTGCAAAAAGCCCAGGGTACTAAAAGCTAACTCTGGAATTTATTTCCAATTCAGCAAACTCCACGTGAATCCTTTTAACCTTCTGAAAATTACCTGCCTTCCTCCATTTGCACGGACTCACTATCCTTCACTTTTGGTTATTACTTTTGGAGGGAAAATAATTTTTGTTTTTTAATTCCAAATTGTGTTTCTTCCTGGATTTGTGAAGGGGGACTTCTGCATTCAGATTTTCAATTAAAATCTGCAACATCAATTAGCTTCTACTCAGCTCTATTTTTTACAAAAGCTGTCTTGAGCAAGGACTGAATTCAGACAAAGAAATTCTTGCAGTAGAGCTATTAAAATGTTGCTAAGACAATTACACCATTATTAATTCCAATAATTATGTTTCATTTCAATACATCTTAAGATGCATTTATCATCGGTGTATATCTTTCATGTGCTATCTCTAATAAAAATGTAACAACTCACAATAAGCAGTTTCATATCCTTGTCTGGACAGCAAAATACTGTACTACTACAAACAAACTTAAAAAAAAACCCAACCCACACGTCTCAAATGGTGTCTGTATATTCCTCAGATACAAGGTTTCAGGAAGGAAACAGATTTCCTCATCCTGTTAGTGTTCATAAACTGCCAAGATATCAGCCGGATGAACTCTTCCCACACTGAGGGGCTACAGTCGCTTTTTATGTTATTAAGCAATAAACTAGTGTATTCACCGCACAATCAAGACCATTAGGTTGACACACCAAAATACTGAAAACTGTTCCTCCTCTAAGCAGGAGAAAGAACTCCTTCACACACGCAAAATATCAAAGCACTGGGTTGCTGTTGTTCAGCTGCTGAAAGGTGAGGTGCTTTTTAAACAGCATTCAAGCAGCTTTTCCCTTCACTCAAACTGGAAATATTTACTGCTAATACTGAAGTATGCTCTTCACCCAGCTCACAAAGGGACCAAACTCTTCATTTCTACCTGATGCACAAAACCAAGATGGCTGCATATAAACTAAACCCCACGGGAGAATAATTCTTCAGCTGCAGAAGAACAAAAATCGCTGTATCTTGAATCTACCTAATTTTACTTTCATTGTACTTAGAAGTTGAACATTACATCAGAAGCATCCCTGGGATATCAAACTGAAGTTCTACGTTCGCAAAGTTTATCAACAAGCTAACAAAGAAAACATAGTGGACTAAAATGTTAACATTTCAAACGAACTCTGATGCAACTCCTACAGAGCAGGACAGCTTTATTACGATCAAAATTACTTATACCACTGACGCTAGTCATTACTTAATATGTCAAGCAAAGTATCTTTAATTAACACTAAAATTATCTTTGTAATTTTCTTAATATTTTCATTAGTTGTTAATCATTAAGATGGACTGATTTGCAGTTCAATCCAGCTGTAAAGAACTTTTTTGCTAACCAAGAGGTTACCTACATGCATATTCATATATTTAGACAAGTTTTAATTTTTACAAGCTATTGTATTAGAAAACACCAATTTGCCTTTTTTTTTTTACATTTCATTGTGTCAAATAGCTTTTAGATTGAAATTGAAATCAATTTAAATGCAAAAAAGGATTTTTTGCTATTTAAATATAAATGCATTCTGAATGCAAGTATTTAAGAAAATTTATTACTTAAAATATATCATATCGTGTTTTGCAGTTAAACGTTATTTTTTTCAAGCAAAGGAGAATATTTTATGTAATTACTGAGTAAAACTAAAAGTATCAGATATTTTTGGACATCAGATCCTTCAGGATTTTAGTATCTATAGATGCTAGTCTCTTTTGCCTTGCTTTTTATTCCAAAACTATAAAAGGAAAAAAGGTTGGTTGATTTTTTTTTTTCAATTTTCAGCCCACCTGTCATTTAAACTGAAAAAAATACTATTTGCATCTGCAGAAGAGCTTCCAGATGTCAAAAGTTATTTTATTACTGCCACAAAGCCTCATTCCAGGTGCCTAGCCAGAAAGTTCTGTGGTTTAATTGTCTTCAAATCTTTGGCAGAATTAACTTAATAGAATACAATACGTTAAGTCAGGGTCCTATTTAGGTTGTCATTATTTCACATTTAGTTTTAAATTCTATTGTAATTTCTTTTAAATGTTTACTGATCATAATTAGTGATCAGCAAAGCATAAAAGGAGAGATTACAATGCAACAGTAAAAGTATTATTCATCCTGTGGAGAACAATGCAAACAGTCAAAATTAATAAGGATGCTCTTTTTTTCTCTCTAAGGCTGTAGTAAAATTAGTATTAGGCATATCTGACTGCATAGTATACTTGTTAATGAGAAACACTAATAAAAAAGCAAACCCTTTTTCTTCAAAAAAGTTTAAACATACAAGATAATGTAATGTGATTCAGAGTTAACACAACAAGTCACTGTTCCTACCAGCATTCCTAACTCAACCACATTATTATCTGTTTGATATTAACTACAGGGCTTCCAAATTTCCCAGTTTCATTTTCCCTTGTAGAAAGAAAAATGCTCATTGTTTTAATCACTAAACCAAACAAAATGTAAAGGCTGCGTACAAGTTATTTTAGAATGAAACGTCAGTATTTAACTATAAATACATTGCTTATGTGTTGTTTATTATTGGCATTACAATAGTAGAGGCCTCCATCAAAGTGTGGGGGTTCACAGCCATAAGTGCTATTTATAGAGCTAATAATATACAAAGTCCTCTTCCTGACTAGTTTACGAGAGAGGAAGCAGCCCTATCCCTACTTTTTAGATGCAAAGCCAAGGTACAGAAAGAGAGACTAAGTCTGAGCGTGTATGGTGAACTAAAGCACAAAGAAAATGAAATAGAGTATTTAGAAAGCTTAATTTTTATATCGAAATTATTTAAAATAACCAAGCATCATCACCTATACTTAATAAAGTTACATCAGAAGAGCAACAAGACTTGGTGGAACCAGAGTGCAATTCAGAACATGAACTTGGGGAATCTGTCTCTAGAATATGGTTGGACATTTTTTCACCAGCAATCCCAATCCCAGGACAGAATTGCTACATGTTGGCTATTTCAAAAAAATACAGTCTTCTTACCACAACATAGTAGTTAAATGTACATATGTTCTCCTGATAAAATTGTTTTATAACTTTGATGTAATGCAATGCTGACCATGCTAAAAGAGATGGTGTTTTTCATATTCAGTCACGAAATTATTCAGGCAGTAATCACCACACCATGTTTTTGTATGCTAGTTGCACTGAATTGCAATGCACAGTCTTTGATCCACACAAGCAAATTTTTTTTCTTTAAATGCAGGCAGGAGCTGAGGACAATACACTCTCAGTTTTTATTATGCTTCCTTTTCATTCTTACATCAGAGAAAGATACAGAAAATGTTTACCATTCTCATTCTCCTGTGATTTTAGTAGTAAGAAAAGACTTGCTTCTCTAACATTGAAAACATTACAGGATTAAGTTTTACATTTGACAAGTTACATTAATTAAGGCATCCTAGCATTGTCATTTTATCAAACATACTTCATATTTCTGTATTCCCTACCATTTATTTGAATTTCAAGTTGACAAGGCACTGTATAAGTGTAAGTGGGCCTCTTCTGCCTCCATCTCAACCAACGCGGAAAACAAAGTAGTGGCAATTACTTCCATTTAAGTATAATTTTAACTAGATGGTACTTCATATTATAAGAAAATATTGACCAGAAATAGCTTTCTCCAGATGGATCATGTCTGATGCCACTCTTTATTCTAAACAATTAAGCTTTTATTAACATATCTTAAAAACATTGGAAATGAAAACATAGAAAAAGCCCCACTCTCCCTAATACATCTTGCTGTTTCCAGAGTCTCTACCCCTGTGTTACCACTTTGACAAGAGCTGCCTTTCTTTGGAAGTTAACATTATTACAGGGCCACGCACAGCTCTGAAATATAAGCTATTAAACAGCTCTGCTCTGTAAACACTTGAATGCACAAAGTTGTAGGATGACTGTTGAAAATAAAATTGTTCAAATGGCATCCAAAAGCTAACATTAGGTCAAAAACCACACAGCAATTTGTGGCCAGTCTTAATGTAGAATATATTCCTATCTTCCCACATAAGTCTTGGGATTTCTCCCAATA